GCCCTCTCTCTCTTTTCCGCTCGATTGAGCGCCGAGGCGGAGGCGGATGGCCTCCTGCATTGCCGCTCTCGTCGCCGTCAGTCTGGCTAAGCACGTTCATTACCGCTCCACTCGCAAGGACCCGTGGACGACGCCCACGAACATATCGGGCAACTGCACTGCTCTTCCAGCAAACGGCCACAGAGACAAACCCGACGGCGGCGGCGAGTTTGTTTGTGTCAGGAGGTTCGGTGCGGCGGGACTGGGAAACCAGATCACGAAGACGATGCTAAGGCTCACCGTGGGAATCGCCATCTCGGACGCGCTGAACCGACCGGTGTGCTGGCGGCGTGCGCTAAGAAATGGCATGGCGGAGATCAACTTGGCTGAACACTTTGCACACCCTTTGCCCGATTGCCCGACTGAGAATTCACGTTGCTTAGTCGACATAACCCAGAAATTCATGAGGGTGCCGGGGATGAAACGCAGAAAGATCTACGAGGATGTCGTCTGCCACCTTCCAACTACGGCGCGGGGACCCGGAGAGGATAGGCAAATCGTCCACTTCGAGCAGCTGATTCTTTGCCAGACGTGGGCGCGCTGCAAGCTGAACAGCAGTGCGATGGATATGCTCGCTGCCCCCGGCGCGTGGTGTGACGAGGCATGCACCACGCGCAGATTCCTCCGCCGCGTGAGCGCGAGAGTGGGCGAGCTGGCTTTACCCGTTTTGTCGGCGACGCGTTCGGACGAGAATGGGCGCGCCAGGCCGCGTGCTCGCCACCACGAGCCCATTCTGATCGCGCTGCACCACCGTGCTGGTGACGCGGTCGCTTTCTCCTCCCATGACGGGGACGTAAGGGCGGGTGGGGCAGCGTGGGACCGAAAGCGCTTTGCGAACGCCACCGCGCGGGCAGTCTTCGGCGTGGCGACCAGTGCCGTTGTTTGCAACGTGACGCGAAAGTGTGCCCCTTTTCCAGCAACGATGCCTCGCATCTTTGTCGCGTCTGACGATGCAGGCTTCATCCGGGCTTTTGACGCCGTGCTCAATGAAGACTACCCGCAGCTTGCCCCCACTTTGCATCTTGCCCCCGAGACAATCCAGCACAACAGTGACGCCGCCGCTGCCGGGAAGTCTAACGTCTCCACTATTCACGAGCGGATCGTCGCCGATTGGCATATCCTGACTCGGTCCGACCTGCTCCTCGTCACGGGAGGAAGCAGCTTCTCGCAGACTGCGAACGCATTCGTGCCACATTGCAGGCTCAACGGCAACAACGTTGCGCCCTCTTGCCTGACGTCGGCGGAGTGGTCTTAATACATTATTGGGTTAGTTTGCCCAGGAGGCCCGGGCAGACAGAGTCGTGATGGCTGTCCTGTCTAAGAGGGGGGGTGCAGTCTTCGGACACGGTCATTCTGAGCGGCTTGGTGTATCTCTGTCTAGACTCTACCGCGGTGGACGTTTGTTTTTTCCTCTTCACGGCGGTTCCTTCCATTTCACTCCGACCCACGTGATTATTGAAAATAGAGCTCAAGAGCGCCCTGTAGCGCCGCCTCCTGCCGTGAGTCAACGTCAGGCAGGTAAACGTAAAGTGCCGCTTTTGCCGTCGCCAGGTGCCGAGTGGTGAAGACTGGGTCTTGGAGTATGGTGACGTGTCTCTTCTCGCAGCTCCGGACATGCTTTCTCGGAGCGGGGTATCCAAAACAAGGGAGGGGTGACCACACGCGCAGCGCAGGCGGGAGTGCCGAAACTTGGAGCACTTGGAGTGCAGTCATCAGCCTCACATCCAGGGCCGGGGAGCTAAGAAGCGCACCCAGCGGGCCGGATGATCGGGATCGGGCTACAGGCTAGAGAGCCCTGACCCCTAGGGGGGTACGCGTTCGCAGGGCAAGGGCCGTAAAGTAAACACGGGTCTCCGAGGGTTAGTTCCGTGTACCGGGTTTCCCCTTAACTGCAGAACGCCCCCTCTACTCGGAGCTAACGGACACACAACACTGCACTCCACGCACGTACACGGATACGCCTCATGTGCGCCCTACCATGACCCGCTAACTCACCCTTGGAGGAGGCGGGAGCAGGAGGAGGGGGCTCGGAGGGCGGCGCGAGCGGGAGCTGCCACGCGATGCGCCGGCGGAGACGTGGATGTGAGAGGAAACTACGCTGTCAATGTGGGCACTCGTGACGCCACAATGCTGGGGAGTGAGTGTAGACTGAAGTAAGACTTCATCATGCGACATTGGCGATGCGTGGTGGGCGCAACCTCGAGGGCGGCTCGTCATACTCCGGGCGCAAATTATTTCCCTGTCTGCTTCACTGACCGCTGGCGCGCGAGACGCCCCACAGCCAGGCGGGAGGACCGACCCTCGGGTGACCAAATTCTTTTTCCTGTCTGCTTCACAGAGCGCGAGCGGCGCAGGCAAGAGCGCCCCATCCAGGCACATTTTGCCCACGCGCCAGCTGACTCTCTTCCTGAACACTAGCCAGGCAGGAGGCGGACCTAGTCCTAGATAGACGAGCATCCGCCCTCACAGGCGTGATGTCGCGCGCGAGCGGCAAGCAGCGGGTGTGCTACTTCTACGACTCTGACATTGGCAACTACTACTATGGCCAGGGCCATCCCATGAAGCCTCATCGTATTCGCATGGCTCACAACCTGCTGCTCAACTATGGCCTCTACAAGAAGATGGAGATCTACGTGAGTGCTGCACCGTGCCACCGCCTGACGGCCCTGCCACACCTGCCTCACACCTGCAAGCCGAGTGCGCATCGCCCGGGTCCCATCGGACCCGCCTCGCTGCGTCGCAGCGGCCGAGCCCAGCCACCTTCGATGAGCTGCGCAAGTTCCACTCCGACGAGTACATGCGCTTCCTGCGGCACATCACGCCAGACAACATGGGCGAGTACACCAAGCAGATGCAGCGATGTGAGCCGCCGCCCCGCCCCTGCCCCCGCCGCGCGCGCGCGCGCGAGTCGCACCGCGTCGACGCCGTGCACCCGCCACGCCGCGCGCCCGGCGTCGCATCACTCCCCGCCGCCCCACTCCCTGCAGCCGCCGCCGCCGCCGCCGCCGCCGCCGCCGCCGCCGCCGCCGCTGCCGCCGCCGCCGCCGCCGCCGTCGCCGCCGCCGCGGCGTTACTTGAGGCAGCGCCGTTCCCCGCCCGCAGTCAATGTCGGCGAGGACTGCCCCGTCTTCGAGGGCCTCTACCAGTTTTGCCAGGCCAGCTCGGGCGGCTCGATCGGCGGCGCCGTCAAGCTCAACAAGGGCACGTCGGACATTGCGATTAACTGGGCGGGCGGGCTGCACCACGCGAAAAAGTCCGAGGCCTCGGGCTTCTGCTA